AGGCCGACGCTCCGACCGCTGAGCCAGGGCCTGGGTGAGTCTTGGTGCACTCGAGTCTGAGAATATCCGAGTCAGGGAGCAGGCAGAGGAGAGTGAGAAAGTTGGTCACGGAGGCAGGAGAAAACAGAAGAGCAGGGTGTCCAGAGCAAAGAGCGTTTCAAGAACAATGCTGGCGTCTCTCCTCACTTCCCCCCGCACGTCTTAGCTCATCCCTAAGAAAGGGCATTGCTGACTTCAGCGCTGTTTCAGGAGCTGATGGAGCGCCCTCTGCTCGTGATCCTGAGTGGAGCCAGGGGGCACGAAGAGGTTGGTGCACGGGTGGGGCTCTTCTGGCCCTCTCAGCTGTCAGAGGTGGGCAGAGCAGGACCTGCTTCCTCCCCAGATGCTTTCTTGCCCCTCCCAGCCCTGGCCTCCACCACCTGGGCCAGCCTGGTGCCAGGCGCGGCAGCACACGCTGCCCTTGAGTGTTTCTCTGCTGGAGGCGGTGGCGCGTTGGGTCAGCCTTTCTCCCTGTCAGTGGTGAGACCCGGGTGGGAAGAATCAGGTGGGGTGGGGTGGGCGGTGAGCAGAGCAGGCCCCACAGTTTCCTTTTGTCTGAGCTACTACCTCTTACCAGTTTCGGAAGCTTACCAGGACGTTCCCTCGGAGCTGAAGCCACACTTGACCACTACAGTTTTGGTCGGCTGGCTCCCCATAATCTCCTGGACATACACCTTCGTGAGGGAGGAGAAATGAGAGTTCTGGACCAGGCTGGGCATTGCTGGTGCCCCCGTCTCCTCCAGCCATACCGTCTCTCTACCTACCAGGATGGCGTCCTAGTTTCCACCACAGGTGGCACTAGAGAGCAAGCACTGGACTTCAGGTCGCTGGTGACCTTGGACAGAGCCCAGGCAGAGGCAGAGAGAGCCAGGCTGCGGAGGTGGGAAGAGACTAGGAGGTGAGAAACAGGAGGGCTGTGGTCGGCGCTCCCAGACAATAGGGGCAGGGAGGGTGGGCAGAGAAGGGCATGGGGTCAGGGCCGAGAAGGGGAGGGGCTTGATGGGAAAAGCTGGCAAAGAGGAAGGACAGAGGACAAGATGGCTAGAGTGAGGTCCCCGAGGGGGCGAATGACGGAAACTCTAGAGCACGAGGGAGGGATTAGCTCTGGGTAGAGGGTCACCCCTTCCACTGTAACGAGAGGACAAGAAAAGGGTGAGCGGTGTAGTCAAGTGTATGGATTTGGTGACAGAAAGCTGAAGGATTACTGTCTGATGGCTGCTTCCTCTGTGAAATTTGGGTGTTGCTCTGGTCTGAGAGTAAGTCGAGGTTTAAGGAGGACGGAGCTGGAAGGAACCATGGGCTGTGTGCCAGGTGGGCAGCTCCAAGGGTCAGAGGTTCAGGGAAGAGTAGCACCTGGACCGGCCCCAGCCTGGGGTTTCGCCACAAGGGAAACTGGGAGGGCAGGGGGCGTAGAGGCTTGTGGTGACGGTGAGAACAGGGGAGTCTGGCAGGAGGGGCTGATGGGGAGGCTGGAGGGGCTATGGGCAGAGGAGGTTGGGGAAACGGGCAGAGTAGGAGGAGAGGTGGAAGCTTCAGCAAAGCCACGGCATGGGTGTGGGCAGAAGAGGGCCCACAGCCCTGGAGCTGCCCTGGCAGGGGGGCAAGAGCTAGTCCAGATCTGTGTCTCACTGTGTGCCCTTGGGCAATTCATGTGCCCTCTTGGGGTCTTGGATTTCCTTCGTATAGTGTTGGCTTCTCTGGCTCATAAGGGTCTATCTGGTGAGCTGATGCGGGAGGATGCAACCCAGGACACAAGGAACTCCGGTCACAGGGCGCACCTGACAAAGCAGCCAGCCCCGGAGACAGCTGGGAACGTGGAAGACCGTCTCCTGATACCATGAGCCTCAAGGACACAAACCTGAGTGAGGGGCTAACAGTGGACACATGAACCTATGTTCAGAAAAGGGTGTAGGCACAGGGGGAGTGGCAGTTGGACTGATCCCAGTTTGGGGTTTTAAGCCTGTGGGGCACCACAGAGGCTGCTGGTCCCAGCGGGGTGTTCTCCCATGAACAAGTTCCCATCCACTGGTGGACACCTTTTAGATCCACCAATAAGCAGCAGATGATAGAGTCCATCCAGGGCGGCTGACACTTGCGTTCTCAATCTAGTAACTTATTACCTATTTGATGACGGTGGTTTATTAAAAACAAAACAGGAGCTAGGCTGGTGTGGCTCACTGGTTGAGCATCGACCCATGCACCAAGAGGTTGTTGATTGGATTCCTGGTCAGGGCACATGCCCAGGTAGTGGGCCTAATCCCCAGTGGGGGGCATGCAGGAGGCGGCCAATTGATGTTCTCTCTCATTGATGTTTCTGTCTCTCCCTCTCCCTTCCTCTCTCTCTAAAATCAATAAAGAAAAACAAAACAGGAAAATCTTCCCAGATCCCAGGCTAAGCCCCCACCTCTTGTTTTTCCCTCTGGATGGGTTAACATTCCCCATGGGTAAAGCTGCTAGACAAGTCTTTTTCAAGGTGTTTAATTAGCCTGAGCCCTGGTGGTTCAAGAATAAAGGTCAAAAATCGCTTTTGAAAATCCTGTATTAACACGCCTGCCCCAGATTCACAAACTGCATTCGTATGCAAAAAGGTCTGAAAAGTTTAGGAGAGAAAACTTTTTGTTGTAACTTTTAAAACCACAGGACCGCCCTCTGTAACATATCAACACTCCCATCTTCACTCAGAACTAACTCTGGGTTGCACTCTGACATACGCTAGTTACAGAAACAAACACCTGTGGCCGACTATCACTATCGGCCCCGCACAATCAACTGGAATGGTGGCTGAGGGCATTACCAGGTTCACATGTGCCCTTTGTTGTCTCTTTGGTATGTCCCAAATTGTTGTCATTTAAACAGCTCTCTCTTGAAGACTCTGGCCCTGTTAGAGAGGACACTCCATGGCATGAGTAGCAGCATCTGCACTCTGCGAGAACCCCCAGTCCAAGAGTCACATTAATTCACACCACAGAGTGTACTGGACATGCTGCAGACAAGCATTCTTGGGGCCAGATGTGGCCTTATAAGGTGGCCTGACATTTTCTCATGGCCCAGGTCACCCTCCAAAAATATCCAGAGACAGAGAAGAGTGGGAACTGACCTCGCTGAATGTTTCAGATTAACAAGCGCTCTGTCCAACACGAGCGCTAACACCTGCTTTCTGACCAGCTCCGAAAGCCCTGGGCCTATAAAGACCAAGTGGCCTGCAGGGCCCATGCCGGGGAGGGCTCTGTAGTGGCAGAATAGATGGAGCCTCCTAGCACACATCCAAGCTGGTTTCTTTGCTCTAAAAAATGTGTTATTTCCTGTGCCCCTCCAGAATATGCTGAGATCCAACTGCCTTTACTTTATATGGACAATTGCGATCTCTAATTCATTTTCATTAGTGTGTGTTTCTGCCTCTTCCTAGTCCTTGGGCTGAAGCGGTTTCCCAAACCTCCTTTTACTCCCAAGGCCCCGGATCACTGGTGAGGTGCTGCCCCCCAGTGGGGAAGCCCAGCTACAACATCATGGGAGGCAGAAATGACGTTTGGGCTTTCACTAGAGTGCAGCATCCTGGAAAGGTCTCTGGATTGCACCCACCAAGGTCAAAGACATGAAAAAGAGCTGCCATGGTAATAAGTCTATGTTCTGGAATTAGGGAGCAGAACACAATTTCCAAATACTAAAAAGATTTACGAAACAAGCATGAGGTGCTTATGTACACAGCCTCTCACATATTTTATTTTTGCTCTTCAAATGAGACTTTTAGGGTGAAATGCATTTTGTGGGGAAAGGGATAATTTTTGATAATGAGACCTACCCCTGAGGGGCATTTCTCTAATACATTTGGGGGAGAAAGATTAAATAGTCCCTCACATGTCTAAAAGAAAGTGGTCAAAAACCACACAGCTCTATTCTAACTCTGGTTCTCGGTTGCACGCAGTGGAATGTTAATAGGTATGGCTATTTTTGGTAATAGTTGCTTAGAACAGTTTCTCCACTAAACTGTATGACAATGAGCCAGTCTACTTGTAAGACTGGAATTTTAAAAGAATATGAGAAATTGCGAAGCTAGTTTTCATTCTTGTTAAAGGGACAGAACAACACAGCAGCCTTTTTGGAACACTGTGTGAACAGCAAGGCTCCTAATCATGCCCACGGCATTCCCCTGGCTAGGCTTTTGGTAACAGTACATGTAATTGCCACAAAATAGGGCAATGACAAATCAGAGAGCCCTGGTTTCCATTACCACCTGCAGTTTGTAAAAGTGGTCTTTTCTGGGTTGCTCACCATCTGGTCTCAGTTGCAGGAACTTTCTTTTCATAAATAAAAGCCTATCTCTGAAACAGATCAGACTCTGTATGAGTGACGTGGTTCTAACTAACCACTGTGCTGGTAACACCTAAACTGTGATCAGACAGCATTTGGAAAGAAAATGTTCCCCTTTGGAAGAAAGACCACATTCTTGGAGACCAGGACAGTGAAGTCCAAGGAAGACCTCGTAGACTAGGTGGGGGCATGCGACTGTCAGAGGCAGAGAACAGAAATCACCCGAAGTAGCTAGAAAGCGCCAGCGCCGTCACTGTGAGGTGAAGGTCCGGGGTCTGGACCCAGCTGGTGGGACGCGGCTGGACCGAGCGCCCAGCCGGAGTCCTTCCAGGACTTTGGGCGTAAAGCAGCATCTAGGACTGTCCTATATGCGGAGGCATTTTCAGGACGAGGTCCTTGACCCCTGAGCAGGTATTTGAATATAGTATGAACACTGCTGGGCTACAGTATTTCCGCTTTCAACTTACATTAGAAGAGTTCGAGTAAAAAAGAAACACTGTACGACAAGGGTCCTCAATCTTGGATTCCCTGGTCACTTTCGTGAGGACTCCCTCTTGTCCCTCCGCAGCAAGTTGGGGACAGGCTTGGTAAGCCTGAAGACCGCCAGGAGGAATGACTTTTGGGAAACCTCTTAATATAACGTGTCTATTTTTCCTGTGAGTGCAGAACCATTACGATGAGCAGAGATACATTTTAAAACTGTCAAAAGAGCTAGAATCTGTAACAGAACTGAATCTCGTCCATATTCCCACACCACCACTTTCAGGCTAATTTAATGGAAAAAAATCACTAAACTCACTGGTCAGTATTTCAAATCCAGGCAGAGCACACACGAGTTTATTTTGAAATGCAACACAGATCAGTATTTTATGAATATGACTTATTACTACATTAACATTACCAGGTAAAAACAGCTCCCAAATGCATGCGTAGAAAGTTAAGCATAGTCTTTGAATGCCTTATTTCTAAATATACAAAAAATACATTTAAATTAGAGAATTGTAGTGAATCAAAGACTTATAAAATTACAATTTTGATTTTCACAACATAGAAAAAAATACAAAATGACTATATATGGTCATATAAATTTTTACCCAAATTTCAAAGGAGCAGTATGTACTGATTTTGATGTTTGATAATGTTTTATCTGAAACTCAGAATTGAAAATATTTCCACGCCAACCTTTTATTACAAACGAACAACCAAAAGCACAAGTGGAAATGAGGGCACCCTCTTCACAGGCCTCTCGACCGCCACCCCTTCTGTAGGAAGTCTGCCAGAGGAAGGTTCTCGTCTGGGAGGATGGTGCTTTATTCCGTGACTACTTCTCCACGGTGCCTCTGATCACAGGGAGTACGTGTTAAATGAACGATCCAACCTCAGCACACAGGACACAGCAAGGTGCAAACCAGCAGCTTGCGGGCACAGCACTGCGGCACACGCCCCCAGTCTCTGCCAGGTGGTCCCCCAGGGGGTCTGAAGCATCCCCTCAGGGGACAGCTGGGCAGATGATGCCCTGAAATGAACACTGTAAGTCTGACACAACACCCACCGACCACCACCTTCTTCATTTACACTATATAAGAAGATGGGACATTTGGTGGGGTTAGGTGGTCTCAATTCATAAAAGAATGCCACCACTTCAAAGGAAAAATTAATTTATGTTGGAGCTAAAGAAACCAGTTACTGAGAAGTGACTGAAGGCCATGGTGGCATGTCTTACTAATCTGCCATAACCACTTTAAATGTTTGATGTACAAAAATAAACACTGGGTTTGAGACCCTCTTGGGGAAGGGGATCGTTTCCGGTGCTCCTGCCACAATTTCTGCCACAGATGGTTCTCATGCACAGGGACAAAGTACAGTTCAGAGGCCTGAATACAACCACTCCAGCAAAGCAGAAAACCTGCCCTTTCCATTCCATCGTCTATCTCCGCACAACCAAAACCAATCTTACCCAAATTAAGTAATAAGGCTAATATAACCCAAATTGATTCTATTTTATAGTAAAAATACATTTTGAAAAAATAAAAAGAGAAAAAGCATGAAATACAATCTTCCCCACATATTTTATCAAGTACAAGAATAGAGTCTAATCTCAACATGCCCAAGGTAAGGGTGCTGACTTTTAGAAGCAGAATTTTACTGTTTAATTAAAAAATAATGTATCACATATCTGCCTGCATCACATTTTAGGCTGCATATTTTACTCTCTTCTTATATTAACTTCCAAGCCTCTACGAAAATAAGCATTTAAAAAATTAGTTTTCTATTATGACACTCTTCTGATATTAGCAATTATATTTTAAATGATAATGATTCTGTAAGCTAGACTTTTAAAGTTTTAAAGATCAACCAATTTTTTTAAAAAAGGGAAAAAAAGGCTCCACAAAGAACACCCTGTTAAAATCTGGTACCCATCCGAACTTGGGCTTCAGGTTTCATCCTACCCTTTCGTGAGGAGTCTTAAACACACAGTTGAGCAATTAAATGGTACAAAGACATGATGTTAATGAGACAATGTCCATATGACCAAAGTATTTCTTGGCTGCTCTGACATGTGGGATGATACTGCTTTTAGCTCACGACTGCCGTTGGACCATTTCACAGCCTCTGGACTTGGTGGGGGGAATTACAGAAGGCCAAAACTAGGAAAAGCATCCAAACAGAAGAGTTCCATGAAAATTTTAAAATAAAATAGTAAGGGTGTAGAAACCTCTTCCCGAATATTCTGGACTACACTTCTGGAGTAACACCTTCCAAGTGTTTCCCTGGACAGACCCTCTACCCCTGGGACTAGCCGGGTTTCAGGGCCACAAACGAGAGCAGCCGCTGGCAAATCACCCTCGGAGGGTCTGAGACCGGTACTGGAAACGCCCTTGTCTTTCACTAGCGACGAGACCTTCCCTTTCTGAGAACGGTCGTTCTGTTAAAATGTGAGTGAGGCTGAGCCCCAGATAAGATAGGTTCTCTACAATGTACACATACTTATTAAACTCAAGCATGTTTCTTAGTGGCAGGCAGTTATGACTCAATTGAAAACAAACAAAAGGGTTCTAGCTGTTTTCTGATTATAGGAACTACCCCAAAGCTTCGCAGACATACAAACTGCACATTTCATTCACTAGACATGAGGGAAAAGGTCCCAGCCATAACTTCAGAGCATTCCAGAGAACAAAGTTTGCCGCTGCAAAAACACAAACTTTCCAGCATGCAGTCAAGCACTTTGAAAGGGGACGCCGGCCACGCTGCAGACTGAAACAGAACCCCACCGCGAGCCGGACGCGCAGCTGGAGCACCCTCCCCACTCCGACTGCAGCTCAGCCATTCAGTGTTACAGATCTTTGTTTATCAGATACATGAAGGAATCAGGAGGGTAGAAAATGCCAAATTCCTGTCTAGCGCCATCATAAATATTGGAAACTTTTGGTTGAAAAAGCATGCTGAATCTGAATGGACTGGCCAGGATGTTTTATGTAATAGCTTTTGTTTTATTTTATAAAATCCCAGGCCTGTGTGACACTGGATTTTGTTTTTTGTTTTTAATATTTTAAAAATAGTTATTACTTATTTTTTATTAAATGTATAGGGAACTCAAAAAGTCTGCAGCATTGTTTTGTCACTGAAAATGTTGTTTTTTGGAGGGGTGCAGGAAACAGGAACTATTCAGATTTCTTGTGTTCTTCAGTGTGAGAAAGGACCTTTCTTCTCTGGTGTATCATATGGAAGTACAACTGGGGGAAAACTGGAAAGAAAAGAAAGAACAGGTTAAGGAGACCATTTAAAACTGCACGTTCTGTTTAAAGCACATGGTTAAGTCCTCCGGGACGTTCTGACTACTTGGTCCTCCAGCAGCCAAGGAAGGTGAAAGGTGGGCTTGGTGAAGGGGAAGAAACACAGAGACCCACCTATTCCTGTGTCAGCCACGGGGGAAGACTGGTGTGGAAACTACTGTCACTATCAATACCAGTCAAGATGCCACAGAGCCACCACACAATAATATTCTTTACAGTCTTATTATCTTCACACTCATTCTCTGATTTCACAACAACCCGGTGAAGAATTCTAGTGATGGAATTGCTATCCGGGCTGCAGAGGAGGAATTCAACAGGGAGGGCAGGCGACGTGCCTGGGTTTCCCTGCAGATCTCCGAGCTCAGCCCAGCTCTGGGCCTGGGGAAGGCAGGTCTGTGCCCTGGAAGGCTGGGAAGGGGAGTGCCACAGCATTCCATCTGAACACAGCTAAGACAGGTCTGCGTGCAGGAAAAGTTTTCATGAAAAGACAGCCCGTATCGTAGGCACTGAAGGTTCTGTTTTTGGCAATTTATAGATTACTTTTTAAATTAATGGTTCAGCCCTGGTCAGTTTGGCTCAGCTATAGAGCGTCGGCCCATGGACCAATGAGTTGCAGATTCAATTCTGGCCAAGGGTACGTACCTGGGTTGCAGGTTTGATCCCCAGCCCTGGCAGGGGTATGTGAAGGAGGGCAACCAATCTATGTGTCTCATTCACATCTCTCTCCCTCCCTCTCCCTTCCACTCGCTCTAAAAATCAATGGAAAAATATCCTTGGGTGAGGATTAATAACAACAACAAAAAAGTAATAGTTCTCAAATGAACTGGATGGTACTGCCTCCCTAGGGAATATTTGGAACTGGGGGGAGAGAGCACTTGGGGGAGCAGTTTCCTGGCACTGAGCACATGGGGCAGCAATGCTAAAGCCTGCGTCATGTGACTCGCTCCACAGCCAAGAATGATTCCATCCCCCGTGCCGCTACGTCCTTGCTGGAAGATGCAGCGCACTGTCTGGCCTTTCCAAGGGCACTGCGAGCAGCCCTTGTGTTGAGGGGACTCAACAGCAATGTAGAAACTCAAGTGAGATGGTCTTGGGTGTAAAATATCCTTCCTTTCCTCCCCTTCTCAACAGTTCCAGTCTGTTTTTTAGACAATAACCTGTATTTTGAGGGAGGTAATTTCTAGTACTGCCAACTCTCTCTGACAGTTTCTCCCTTTTTAAATGGGTTCCAAGTTGAACAAATTTCAAATGGTTCTCCCAAAGTACTCCAAGACACCAGTGGGTATGTGCACACAGAGCCGGTAAACTGCAGAGGAGGCCCGATGCCGAACAGGGCTGCCAACCACTCCGCTCACCATTTGCTGGTATAGAGTTATTCACAGAAAAGACCAGCTTGTGCATATAATTCAACAGTGAGAGAACTATTTTGGTATGAGCGCCAGAAAATTTGACAAGCTCTATAATCTAAAAACTGGAAGTAAAGATATAATTAAACTGTAAGGAATGCTAATTGTAATCATTTAAAAACGTGGGGCTAGTCACATTTCTACAGATACGCTTCAGTGAAGGAAACGTTGTGGCAAAGTAGGCGGAGGACTTCTCCTCTGGCTGCATTTGATTACAACACCCGACAGGGCGGTGACAGCCTCACAGCTAGTGCTGCGGGTGGGAGGGACAGCAGCACCTACAAGCCACTCCGTGGGCCCTTAGTGGCAGTTAGAGCAAGATGGCGAGTGTACCTTCATCCCTGCAGGTGGGGCCTGCTGGCTGCCAGAGGAGGCAGAGGTCAGAATCAGAGGGCAGATGTCACGTTCTCTAACATCTTCCGGAGGTTTCTTGGAGCCCAAGAGAAAGCAATGTGTGTGGGGTGGGAACGCTTGGGCTGGATGTTCTTTACATCTCTAACACTGACTTCTTGGTGACCAGAGCTTGGATAACACGGCCTCCACCTGAATGACCCACACGTTCAGGCTGAACTCAACTATAATGGCTGAAACAATTTCAGATTCATGGCTACTATTTTTAATTACATTGAGCTAAGAAAACCTCAACTTGACAACAGGCCAATTAGACTTCTAGCTTCTGTGCGCCCAGTTCAGAACACACAGAATGGAGGTGGCTGCTGTGTGTGTGCATGTCTTGGTGTGTTGGGGTGGGGGGCATGTGGGTGCCACTGTCCCCACCTTCCTGTAAGAAGACGGGCTCTCTTTTTCTTTGGGGAGAGGAAGACTTGAAGGATTAGAGCAATTGGAAATGCTCTGCCCGGGGCAAGTTTCATTCCATTTCTCTAAGAAACCAGAGGTGTGGTTATGGTTACTGACAACCCGGAGCGCACAGTTTCTTGGTGTCCTCACCCTACATCATTGCTTCTCAGCCTGTTTATACCCTCACTCTATAAACACTTTTCACCAACGCGGGGAGGGCAAATGTAAGCAGGACCTAGGCACTGACTGAGTCCTGAAGACGCAGTGCAGCAGAGCAGGGAGGAGCACCTTGCAAAGACTCCACACATCCCGACACAAGCACACACCTGGGGCCAGGGCGCAGGGCCGCAATGTAGGCTGCACGTGCACCCACGCAGTGACGGGCCAGGACCATACAAACAGGAGCTGCTTTATGAGATGTCTGCCTGTCTATGTATGTATGTATCTTTCTATAGATAAAGAAAACCAAATTTGGTAGAGAAGACAACATGTCAATAGTAACCTCTCCTAATTCTGCATTTCTTCTAATAAATACTAAGTTTTGGAAAGACAGAAATGTGCAGTTGGCTTGGAATGAGCTGTACAAATTGGTCTCAACATTAGCACCTAAACTAGTGAACACACCCAGGGCAACTGGCCCCGGCCAGAAGCACAGGTGCCAGCAGACGCAGGGCCTTGTAGCGGGGGATCTGGTCTGGGCTGCCATCCTGAGCTAGGTGGGGAGTCAGGGATTAGGAGGAAATCTTTTAATCTTTATTTGAAATCAACCCCTATTCTTTGTCTACACGAGTTAAGCCACCTTGAAAAAGAAAGGCTATAGACTTCAGCCAATCCAAGGTCTCTTACCAAAGGAGGCTGCAAATGGAAGGGGGAGGAATGGAGGCAAAGAAAGCAGACTTGGTGAGAAGTCCGTCCAGCTCTCTGAGACAGCTGGCTGAGGTCTGTGTTTTCTCTCCTCTATTTTAAAGCCAAGAAGGAAACCCCACAAAACTGAGATTGTTTCCCTGGAGGAACGCTATCACTGGGGAGGCTGCCTGTGCGACCAGGCCCCTCGCTGTGTCATGAGGTCGGCAGGCAGAGGCCAAGGCTGGGCCCTGGCTGGCCACCAGCACACGAGAAGGACGAGAGGTGCAGAGGCGCAGGCTGCCCCCGAGCTGTTCTGGGGATGCAGCCCTTCTTCCCTGACATGCGAGAAGCCCTGCAGTGACCCCTGATTTCTGGTAATGTGGCAGCATCTTGTTATTGATTTGGTTTCATGTTACCCTCTTGACTCTTTCTCAGTTTCCCAACAATGGCATCTATATCTGTTTACTCAAAACCTTTGGCTGAATTTACGTAAGTCCTGTAGTGCCCGCTAACTGAGGTAACGCATGTTCCTCTCGTGTGGCACAGTGGCGGTGAAGGGCTGTTGCTCTGGAGACTGGAAGATGAATCTCTTAGGGAACAATATTAGACAGGTAAGAAACTGTAAGTTAAGCCATCATGATTTCAGCACCAAAGAGGAGGACCTGAGAGTTAGCAGAGTGGGAAATACATCGTGAAGCAGAATCGTATCCGAGATAAACGCTCATATAAAATTGGGATCAGGTTTTGCACAATGCATGGAATGCAGTTTTCCAGAGGGACACGAACACACCGCATATCGCTGTTAGGGTGCTTCTTGCTGAGGGCTGAAGGAATGTCCAACCCTCCTGTCTGAATTTAACTGGAGGGTAAGAGGAGAAGACAGCACCTTATAGACTAAAATAAGACTCAGTCACAATGGCTACAGGAACAGGTAAAGGAGGAAAACCCATGTCCCTGGGTAGAACAAGATCCTCTTGGATATCGGACATCAACCACAGGGTTTCAAATGAACATCAGAATTCAAGAAAAGGACCGAACAACTCTTCTTCAGCAAACAGGCCTCACTTCACAGAAGCCTCACACACGGCGTCTGTCTGACGGGTACGCGGACAGGCACCTCTGCGTAGCCAGGACAGGCCTTAGCGGCTCCGTGAAATACTGGGAGCCAGCCTGGAGAGAACACTGTGTTCTGTTCAGATGGTTTTAGTGCTTGTTTCTAAACAAGAAATTAAGAATTATAGAAAAAATAATCTGTTTTTATTTTGCTATTTGTTTCCAGTTAACTACTGACTCCTTATACATGAAGCAACTACCTATTTTGATATAGTAAAAATGCAAAACAATCTCTTCACAATGTTTTTCCGACACCATAATGAGCAGTTCTTGAGAAACAGAAAAAGTCAAGGTAAGGCTTTAATGGCTTTTTTGTTTTCCACGTGGTTCTTTTCTCCAACAGACAGTTACCTATGCTGGTGCTCATGGGTTCAACCCACACACTGAGAAGGGCTGCATTGTGGCAGCTGTACTGAGAAGAAGTCATCTTTCCACAACTACTACCAGCAAAAAGTTCCAATAAGTCAGATGTACATTTACCTGGATATTGTGTAAAAACAACCAAAGGCATTTAATTCTAGCTACTGTAGAGACAATTTTTAAAACAGGTAAATATATGCATAACTGTTTACTTACCTGGAATGTAGGCGATCATTACCAGAATTAGGAATGCATAGTAGTCAAAGGAGAAATTGTATTTGTTAGGTAAACTGATGGAGTACAGGCCAGCCTGTCTGACAAAAGGCAAAGCAGCATATATCGTGAGCAGTTCTCCTGACACGCCCATCGGGTACAGCACGATGAAAAGTGTGTACCTAAAACAAAACAAAATGCTCATTACTGAGGCTCAAAGCCAGTTAGCAGAAAGACCCACTCCCACCCTTCTAGTCAGCACTGGTCTCTTAGAAAGCTAATGTTTATACATTGTTCTGTTGACCCACTGTTGAAGTTCAGGTTTTACAAGCCAGTTTTTGGAATGGGCCTATAGCAGGGATATTTCTGAATGATCTAAAATAAAATAAATGTGTTTGATCAGCCTCAAACAACTCCCTAAAATAACTGAGGTGATGCCAAATATTGGTCAAGTAGGGGCACTGAATCATGGCTATCCTGAACCTACCCCATGGGGTGGGGAGCTGAGATGGGTCATTGCAGGGAGCTGGGGGAAGATGTTGGAGCATGTGTCTAGGAATCCCTAACAATGTACACAAAATCTCACCTGTAGACAGAAAACAGCACAGTCGATGTGTGTGCACTGTTATAATTATTCAAATGTCTGTACACGCTAGTGTACAAACTGAAATATATGCTAATTCAAGAAACATTAAAAATTCGTAAGAGCTTTTGGTCATTATGTAATTTGTCAGTGTAAAAAAAACTACAATTACTGCTTGGCCGGTGTCGTTCAGTGGGTTGAGTATTGTCCCATGCACTAGGAGGTTGCCAGTTCAATTCCCGGTCAGGGCACATGCCCAGCTTTGGGCTCGATCCCCAGTTGCGGGCCTGCAGGAGGCAGCTGATTGATGTCTCTATCTCTATCTCTCTCTCCCTCTCTCTGAAATAAATAAAAATATATTTAAAAAAACAACACCACCAAACTACAATTACTATCACCTGGGACAATCTACACACTTTCTTTCACTTTAAAAAGAAATTTTCTATGTTGCAAAAAGAATTCAGAGAGAAGTTTGTCCTAAGGAACAAATCGGATATCATTTCGAGGTATAAGTATTGCTAAAGAACTCATCAGCTCAGATTTTAAAAAGGCTTTGACTGCAGCATTATTCACAGTCGCCAAGATATGAAAGCAACCTAACTGTCCACTGATAGGTAAATAAAGATTATATATAATGAAATATTACTCAGCCATTAAAAAGAATAAAATCTGGCCATTTTTGATGGATGGCTGTAGAAAATATTATGCTAAATGCTGTGTCAAACAGAGAAGGGCAAATACAATATGATTTCACTTGTTCGTGGAATCTAAAAAACAACAAATGAACAAACAAAACAAAACAGAAAGAAACAGACTCATAGACATAGAAAACAAACTGATGGTTGCCAGAGGAGGGACTAGGGGTGGGTGAAAAAGGTGAAGGGAAATAAAATAAGTCACGGGATGTAACTAATGTACAGCATAGGGAATACTATAGTTAATAGAATCGTAATAGCTTTGTACAGTGACAGATAACTAATTTTATTGCGGTGATCACTCTGTAAGGTATATAATTAGTTGACAACTATGTTGTACACCTGCAACTCATACATAATTTGTGTGTCAACTACACTTTAATAAAAAAAAAAACAAAAAAAAAACAATAAAAAGTCACCCAGCTGGTGTGGCTCAGTGGATTGAGCGTTGTCCCATGGACTGAGAGGTCCCAGTTCGATTCCTGGTCAGGGCATGTGCCTGGGTTGCGGGCTTGATCCCCAGTAGGGAGCGTGCAGGAGGCAGCCGCTCAGTGTCTCTCTAACATCGATGTTTCTATCTTTCTCTCCCTTCCTCTCTCTCTCTCTCAAAAATGAATAAACATTAAAAAAAAAAAAAAAAAAAGTCTTTGTCTGCTGTTTGTGGATGGCAGTGAGCACTGGGCTCCAAAATCCCAGGTACAGGAATTGTGCTGAGAAATCTGTGACGATGGAAGGAAGACATGTTCTCCACTGCCAACCTCAGCTGTGCTAAGGAGGGTGGTGAAAAAGGAAGAATTCCCCAAAAGCCATGGAAAACAGAGACAAAAGCATCATTCTTCAATAGTAAGTCAATGAACTTTCCCTATAACCAGGCAGACTGCGTTCATAATGCCTGCCCAGGTTGGTAGAAACTCCTATGTTTTTCTCATTCTTTCCTTTTCCTAATAAAAATGTTTACTGCAAAAATAAATAAAATTTAAACATAAATACATAAATAAAGGAATCCACATACCTGAAATGTCACAAACAACTGGTCTGTCTCTAATTTAATCACAGAACTCATAAACTGTCTAAGAACCACTATTTTCCTTCCATGAAATGAGGCATTTGGGCCCTAACTACAATGTTGCTCCTTTTGCTTTGTCAATCCTCCCCATAGTCTTTTTCAGTGCGGAAAACTGCTTACAACTGTCTCATGGGTCAGTTCAGATAAAAACACAAACTGTTGGCCTTTTATCCAATTCATAATGAATATTATTGTAAAAATAATCAAAATAAAATAAACTGATAATAAGCTAAACTGCCATCTAATGTTTACTATTAATTAGAAATTAATTTAAGAGGCATAGCTGTTGACAAAATTGAGACTAGGAGAAATGGACTTGGTCCATAAACCATCATAACGACAGAAGATCATCAGTAAAATTTGATACGAACAAAAAGGGCTGTTACAGCAAATCGCTATTGAATAATTTATCTGAAAAGAATTGATTCAATAAAAATACAAATATAAAAAAATTTAAAACAGTATTTCTATAATCAAAACTAAGTAGAGTTCCTCCTTATCCTGATGAAATCTACAGACAAGATTTCTACCCAACCCCTGTCTCTTACAACTTTTTTAAGGAACTTAGAGGCAGTATTTAGACACTACTGCAGTGATAGATCTTTTCAAAAGTTTGTCTTTGTTCCCTGTACTTCTTTACCTGGCCCATTTGATGAGATAAGGCAGATGGTTTAATAGACTGAATGTATAAAAGGAGTAGCGGATAATTTCTGTGATTGTCCAGGCAATAACAAACAGAAGGACACTGTCTTCACTCTGTACCTGGAGGAAAAGGAAAATAAAAGCAGAAAACATTTGATAACAAAAAGCACTCACTATGTGCAGCCCCCGCGCCCCCGCCCGTCTCTTTACAGAGCTGGTGGACACAGCCCCTGGTCTCTACCCTTAGTGCCACAGCACAGCACAGAAAGAGCTTGCCACACAAATGACAACAACTGGGTATAAAGCCAAGTGAGAAGAGGCAAGCAAGTGAGAGGAACTCAGCTTACTGATGAGTGGGAGACACAGGGACTGAGAATTGTATGAGCTGTAACCCACAAACAGAAATTAACATGAGGAGAATGTGAACTGATGCTAGTGGTTCGATAAGAAGAGTAGAGGGCAAAACTGGTGGAAAGCTTGGTATCCATTAACAAGACAACTTGGAACCTGAGAAAATTTTAAGGAAGAGGAATGTAATGATTAAAACACAACTGAAGATGAGGCTAATTCACTGGGTAGGATGAATTCAGGTGAGGGAAGAGCTGGAGACTATGTAAGAGGCAAGGCCCAATCATTGTCTCCTACTGGTGACCCCGTCCCCCAGTCGAGGCCTGGTTTAATTTAAGGATTAAAGAAGCTTCCATGCTCATCACAGTAAGTAGCTAAAGCCAGCAGAGCTTTGGAATTCCTAACCTCCTATAAAGTTGTTTTCATGCAGAAAAAGTAATAAACTTCTAAAAGAGCCCCTTAGGTGTTTTTCTCTTTTCTTTTCTTTTTTTTAAAAGAGATTTTCTCACTGGATACCTCAGACTGCAAATCTTGCATGAAAATCTACTGGTGTGGTTTGAACTTTCAACACCTCCTTCCCACCCACCCCAGCTAGGTTTACCATAATCCTTGGTGCTGGAAAACTAGGCATAAGAAACAATTTTACACTGCAACTCACTTACGTTTTCTTGCATCCAAAAAGGGCCGTTGGAGTTGAATTTGAGGAAGAAATTCCACAGAGCAAACCAAACAAATTTTAATTATAAGATGGATCTTATGTCTTACTCCTAACATCTAATACAACAAAGGTATGGCATTCTAACCTTAACTCTGCTTCTTTGTATTTGCAATGTTAATAGTTTTTAGCACTTATATTCTTCCTCAGAAAGTGTACATGGAGCGATCCACCTACACGATATGAAATACGCAGTCATTTACATACCCATTAACTAAATTGCTCTGACAAAGAATTTCATAAATGCAGTTACTATTTTCTAAAAATAATAAGAATTTTATACTGTCAAGAGCAAGAGAACTTTTTGTTTTCCTGGTGCTCTCATATTAACCCAAGTAAAGTAAAAGCTAACTCCTCTAAAGCTGTCCTGTTTCATTTCTCAAATCCTTGCTTAACACCATCTATACTAAAATATAATTTCAGAGCACACTCTGCTTTTTGATGTAGTTTGTAATCCTCCTCATCTTAGGAAGATATATTTTTATAGCTCTAGGCTGAAGCCTTGCTTAAAGACCTTTGAGTTATAATATTTTGCACTGTAAACGTCTTGGAAGCTGGGGGTGTGTTGTTCATCTTTTGATTCCCAAAAGCACTTTGTGCTTTTTACAAGTATGAGCTCAATAAATATTTGTAAAGCAAATGAATTATTTTTTGTTAATCCTCATCCAAGGATATTTTCCCATTGATTTTTAGATAGAGTGGAAGGGAGGGAGAGAGAGAAACATCAATGTGAGAGAGACATATCAACTGGTGCCTCCCGCATGACCCTGACCAGGGCCTGGGATCAAACCTGCAATCCAGGTACATGCCCTTGACCAGGAATCGAACCTGAGATCCTTCAAAGGTCTGGAGGCCAATGCTCTAACCTCTGAGCCAAACTGGCCAGGGCAACAAATGATTTAAATCCAGTTCCCTGCTTTTTGATACCTGATATCAGTTTCTGTGGAGTCTTAGTGGCCTTCAAGCACACAGTTAAGAAACAAACCACCCAAACCTCCCACTCCAGCCCAGAGGTTATTTGATTGACCCCACCCCCCAACCTGTTAGTCTTGAATCAAAAAACTGTAACAAACTCAGACCCAGACTAAATGTGAAAGCAGTCTCTTCCCAGAGTCCAGCTATAAAGACCATGTCATAATTTTAAAAAGGCCGAGGATGGGGGAAATGACTATCTTGCACAAATGATATCTTCAGATCAATGGGACTGTTATTAAGAAGGACTTGGGCTCTGGTTGGGTAGCTCAGTTGGTTGGAGTGTGGTCCCACACACCAAAAGATGGCGGGTTCAATCCCTGGTTGGGTTTTGTGCAGGAGGCAACTGATTGATGTCTCTCCCCCACCCCCCATCCTGTGTTCCCCTCCCATTCCTCTTCTCTAAAATCAATTAAAATACATGCCCTCATGCCTAGCCGGTGTAGCTCAGTGGCTGAGCATTGTCCCATGGACTGAAAGGTCCCATTTCGATTCCCGGTCAGGGCATATACCCAGGCTGTGGACCCAATCCCCAGTGGGGGGCATGCAGGGGGCAGCCAATAAATGTTCTCTCTCACCGATGTTTCTATCTCTCTCTCCCTCTCCTTTCCTCTCTCTCTCAAATCAATAAAGAAAAGAAATATATATATATATATGAATCAACTGATAGCTTCACTGAAGTAAAAGCAAAAGCAGGTTAGCTTTGGAAGGGTTTTTTGAGGGACAAAGGGCTGGGGTTATAAAAACTTCAACTCAGCTTTTTTAAAAATTAAGAACTAGAATATTTTATTAATTATTAAGAATAAGAGGTTTAATATGTCCACACAAGAATTTGCACTCAAATGTTCATATCAGGATTACTTGTAATAGCCAAAAAAGTAAAACAACGAAATGTCCAGCAACTGGTGAATGGACAAAAAAAATGCGATACACATCGGTACAATGGAATCCGATGCAGCAGTACAAAGACACAATGACACATTCTAACATAGATGAATCTCCAAAGCACTGTGCTGAGTGAGAACAGTCAAACACAAATGACTACCCTTTGTACGATTCATGTTTATAAAATGTCCAGAAAAGACAAATCTAGAGACACAGTATATGAAGGTTGCCTGGGGCTGGGAGTGGGAATGGGGATGAACTTCTGAAGGATATGAGGGGTCACAGTGGTGATGGAAATATTCTAAGACTGGATTATGGTGATGGTTATAAACTTGGTCACTTTACTAAAAGGTATTAAATTTATGCTTAAAATGGGTGAACTTTATGGTATATAAATTATAACTCCATTAAGTTGTTTTTTAAAAAAATGTTTACTTTAAATTATTGCAATTGCCTTTTTTTAAATGAATTTATTTTTGCTACAGATGTTTCTCCTTTTTCCCCATTGACACCAATTACCTTTTAAGTGAAAAAAGGAGGATTTAGCTGGGTTTACAAAAGAAAAGAGGGAGACAAAAGGGTAGGTTTAGATTAGGTTGCCAAAATGTCTTGAAGAAGTCATGTTTCGAGGATGCATATCCACAATCATGGCACGAGGGGGGAGGGGGCACAGGCAGCCCCACGCTGGACCCTCCAGGCTGCAGAAGGCAGGCTTCCATCCCCTGCTCTTCGAAGAGGGGGAGGGACTGGGTGTGGGTGGCTTGTATAATTTAGCCAAGGGAGTTTACATAAAATTCAAGCTGGAGAAACAAATGAGTGCAAGAGAAAAACCTTTACACACAAATAGCATCATATGTTTGACTTTAAAAGGCTCAAGGAGTATCTGTACATGAAAAGCTGTCATTTTTATTATATTCAAAGAAAAACAGATGGTGCCACATAAGAAAATCACTATTGTAGAAACTCTATTCTTCTTAGCATTTTGGAACCTGCTGCTTACCACTCTGGTTATTGAAGGGAAAAAAAGGAAATCCCTGATCATGCTCTATGGTGAGTGTTCTTTCCTCTTCTTTTTCTTTTTTTATCCTCACCCAAGGACATTTTTCCATATTTTGTTCAGATAGAAGGAGGGAGGGAGGGAGGGAGGGGGGGAGGGAGGGAGAGAGAGAGAAACATTGACGTGAAAGGGACACATCGAGTGGCTGCCACCCACACGACCCAACTGCAATTGAGGTACGTGCCCTTAGCGGGAACCAAACCCAGGTCTCTCTGGACCACAGGCCGATGCTCTAACCGCTGAGCCAAACCACCAGGGCTCTTTCCTCTTCTTAATACCCCTTTCATTTGTGAAGCAAAGAGATTTTGGTAAAACCAAAAAAGCGAGGAGTAGACTCTGTTGTTGGCAAGAATGTGAGGAGTATGTTTACCTTAGTCTGTTCTAGCTCCCATAATAAAACACAACAGACTGGGTGGCTTAAATAACAAAAATGTATTTTCTTAGGTTTAGAAGCTAAAAGTCCAAGATCAGGGTGCCAGTGCCTTTGGCTCCTGGTGAGGAAGCTCTCCAGGGTCTCTCTTAGGGCACTAATGCTCTTGACCTCATCTAACTCAAATAACTTCCCAAAGACCCCATATCCAAATACCATCACTTTGGGGTATGAACATAAGGGGACACAATTCAGTCCACAGCAATGTTCCAGACCAGATGTCAGCAAACATTTCCTGCAAAGGGCTAAACAGCATATATTTTAGACTTTGTGTCATATGCAGCCTTTGTCACATAGTCTTTATTTTTTATATCCTTTAAAAATGTAAAAACCATTACAAATTGCGAGCTAGATTTGGCCCACAGGCCAACCTCTGTTATAGGGCCATTTGACACCCCAACTTTCACTTCCTGTTCATTCCTACAATATCCGTCTTCAGCCTTCCTGTGGCAGACTGTGTGTTGCCAGGGTGGGAGGGCAGGTATTGGGTGGAGGGACAGCAATATATCTACATCCAGAGGACACTATGAACACAGGAAGTACTTAAAAACATGTGTAGGCAAGTTTTTCATGTTATGTCATCTTAACATCCTAGTAATCTTTTTATTGTTTGTGGTAAAATATACATAACATAAAATTTGCCATTTTAACCATTTTTAAACATATAATTAGGTGGCATTAAAGATATTCACTGTGCTGTGCAACCATCACCC